GAGACGTATTGAGAGAAGAAAATAGGGTAGTCAAAAATACAAGTGTCCCCAATATGAGGAGAACACAGCTGTATTTAAAAATAAAAAATAAAAAAAAGGGGTAAGTATGTTCATGTCACCTTTGAGTATCGAACGGGCAAAAAAAACGAGCGTCGGCAATGAAAACCGCACCGAGTTCAAGAAGGCAACGGAAGTACCGACTGCCGTGGTGTCAGACCGGGTGTCATATTTACAGGGGTCGGCCGTGGTGTCAGAGGAAAAAAAAAAAAAAAAAAAAAAAAAGCCCAACGGATACTTTTGGACCAAAATCGCTCATTTCGAGTTGGCGCGTGGTTTCTCTGCCGGCGCAAGTTTTTTTTGCCTTTAGGGTTTCAAAATATGCCGCCTCTGCCGTTATTTCTACTTAAAAAAATCAGGCTAGGAGCAGGTAAGATTACTAAAGTGCCATAGAAAACACTCAAGAAGATACAATGGTACGACCTATCAACATCAGAAGCCTTCAATGATAACTTACGCTGCACCCCTGGTTAATTATTGGCACAGCAGAAAGGAATACAGACAACCGTCAAACACCGTACTGGGCATCTCTAATCCGGATTTGGAGGGAAATAATGCCAAAAAAGACCAACAGACCAAAATCTAAGGACGAGGTGCTGAGACAGCCTCTCTTTGGCAACGAGTGGTTGAAGGGCGAAAGTGATGAACCCTTGTTCTTAGACCACAAATGGCAGTCATGGGTAAGGAATGGAGTCTGGACAATCAGCCACTTGTGGAGCGAAGAAAAGAAGGAATGGGTCTCTGAACAGGAGTTAAGTGAACGTTTGAAGGGATGTCACAGAAGAGGACCCAACCGGCAGTATATTATTAATCTTGTTCCTCAGGAGTGGAAAGATATGCTAGAGAACGGGGGGTCAAAGTACAGGAAAACCCTCCCTCTAGGGCCTTCCAATTCTCATACCTACAACCAGGATCAGTCACTCAAGCGGTGTTCACCTCCTTCCCGATTGATCACTCCACGAAGGGAATGACTTCGATTAAGAACATCAACGTGGAAACGACAGTCATGGATTACTTTCTGCTCAGAAAAGTAAGGGTGTTAGGCACATGGCCGAAGTTCATCTTCAGAACCGATACGGCCTTACACAACCTGGAGTTCAACCCGATGGAGTGGCCATGGAAACCAGAAAGGACCACAAACATCAAGAGGCTCACCCCATACAGGATTACACGGTCAAATTTGGGTACGAGCTACTGCTAAAAACAAAAGACCCAGAACCAGTGATCAAGGCCAGGTGGCAGAAGCTAATAGGACAGGAAGCCAACAACATCACACAGATCCCGTGGAAGATTTATAAAACGATCAGACCAATCAAAATCAAAAGCCTCCAAATCCTGAAGAGGAAACGGCGTACCTATACCATTACTTTAGGGAAGGTACAGCCTGGGAATGGAAGGTTGAAGCGTGCGAAAAGAGGCTGACTCAAAGGATGTTAGAGTAAAAACACAAGGAAGACAGGTTTCCATATCACTCTAATAGAATGGCGACACAACCTTAAATCCCAGCCCAGAAGGGACAGCGAGGCCCAATAGTAGAGGGTTCAGGGTTTAGGGTTCCGTAGCAGCTAAAAAAGGGAGAAGGCTCAATGGGAGAAGGGATACTTCGACTCACGGGTTGAACCGGCGAGGAGGGAAGCATAAGTAAGCGGAAATTATGGGCGAGCTCTTTCTAGGTGACATAGCTTTATTGGGCAGGGCTGGTTTTATCAGGTCTGAGAGGAAAGAGTGAGTCATGGCAAGCTGACAGTCAATCCTCCACCAATGGTGGAGCAATCAATGCTGTTCAGGGGTCCTTCGGCCAAACGGGAGGAAGCGTGAGTCTCTGATGCAATGTAATCTTCCTTTTGACTTGTCGGTGGAATAGGAACCGGACTGACGCTCCCCAGAATAGAAGGAGCCAGGACCAAAAGGCCCTGTTTAAAAAATAAAAAATAAAAAATAAAAAATAAAAAATAAAAAAATTATTGGCACATCAGAAGAAGTGCAAGGAACCTGACTGTTCATAGCTTGCTGGAGTGTATCTCTCCGCATGCATAAATGTCAACACACAGATAGAAAAGCTTCACACCAAACCAAGTCGAGACGAGTTGAGAATCAGATAGCGCAGCTCATTATATGAAAATCACATTATACAAAGAGTATCTCGAGTTCAAGAGTTCAGCGCCAACAGAATACAAGTCTCCCTCGTTCAATCATAAGCATATGGCCTGGCTCAGCCAGCGTCTGCCCTCAGATCACAGGTATGGCGCCAACAGGTAAGTATCCACCATGTCCAACTCCTTAACCTGTCTTCTCTCTCTTTCCCTCACGAGATCCCTGTCTTGGCTCCCTTGTCTCACTCTGCATGCTCACTCCCTACTTATGAGGATCTACTCTGAATGCTACTCACTGATGTCTACTATTAACCCTACTACCTCTACTAATAATGCCGGCGCAGCTATGGCTGCTTCTGCCAGTCAGCGCCCAGCCTCTTCTTCTCCTGCTTGCACAGCTTCCAGCCAGCGCATTCTCCCTGCATGCTAGCGCACAAGTGCTTCAGCACTTCCACGCATCAATGCCAGTGGAGATCTGTCGTGTGGGGAGGCTGGACTACTGTAGTCTCTTATAGTGTTGACCTCCCTTCACGAGGTCTGAATCAATCTTCCTTGGGTCTCAGTACCTTTCCTTCAGGGTCTGCTGCTGCTGCGGCCTTTAGGCCAGAATTTTGGACTTTGGGTCTGAATCTGGACTGCCTATTGGACTTTGACTTGGACTGGGACTCTACCTCACTGACTTCCATTCGAACAGACACAACTTCTGCACGAACAGACACATCTACTGCACGAACAGACTTGCACAGCCCCCTGGACGAACAGACGTGACTCTCACAATTGAACGCTGCAACTGTTCGTCCTGGGGCACGACTGTGACCTTTGACACAACTCCTTACTTCAGTTAGGATGTGACTTTTGACCCAGAGAACATGTCTTTTGATCTGCTTTTCACGAATTGAGTTCTGGCCGAGTGGGCCCCATTATGCTGCGTTTGTCATTCAGGGTCTGAACGGGTAAAGGCCCTTTCAGAAGCAAAACCAACCCTAATAGCTCAGGCTGCCGCATAGGATGCTCAGATAAGAAACAAGAAAATATGATTCACTGCTTAATTATATGTACGGAGGTTACTGAATACTGGGCTAGAGCCTTGTGCAATAACGCATGCCATATGTCTCGTGGAAAGACGGAGGGCCAACTCGGCCGCCCTCAGCCAGGCCGGAACGGGGGTAAAAAGGACCCCAAACAACGACTCAGGGCCTGGACGTGCGACAGTTGACTTTGGTCAACTGTCATGACCCCAACAGTCAAAGTCCAAAGGTACCTAGCCCAGGCCACTGGTCAAGCACACACACTTGTTTGTATGTAGGTGCCAAGACCGCATCAGGTCCAAGGGAGAAGTCTGCAACTGTACAATCCGGGCCCTCAGCTATGAGTCAATCTGGACAACTGTGGGAAAAGCACCCGAGGCCAGACAGCCTCGACAAGTGTTACTTAAGGCTGGGCCTCGAGGGAGTCGAGCATTCAGTCTTGCTATGCTGCTTTGACACTGGCTCGACTTTGACTAGATGCTGGCATTATGCTGGCTCGACGCTGGCAAGACGCTGGCTGTGCGCTAGCGATGCGGACGACGGCACGAGGTGGAGGCAGCATGCTGGCGCTTTCTGCATGGTGCGCCAGGCTTGCTGAGGTGGCATGCTGATGTGGTGCTACCTCTGGTCTACATTGCATGATGATGTGGTGCTACCTCTGGTCTACATTGCATGTTGATGTGGCGCTACCTCTGGTCTACATTGCATGCTGATGTGGCGCTACCTCTGGTCTACATTGCATGCTGATGT